GAACAAGGCCCAGGTGGGTTAAATGACTTTCCCAGGACCACTCAGATTGCAAAAGCCTGGATATTCCCATTTGTGCAGAACTGAGCCAAGCTCTTAACCACTCACTAGTCTTATAAGAAATTTGCCCCTAACCACACCACCAGGCTGGCATTCTATTGTCCTCTTTGTTTGGATTTCCCAGGGCTACAAACTTTAGCAGGGAGTGGAAGTGACTTTGCTACATTGGACTATATTTCTTTTCTTCTGCTCAGAGGCAGGCATGGCTGGAACCTGCATGAGTGGAAGGGAAACTTGTTGGCTCCCCTGCTGCTGCCATAGCAACTAGATAACATAAGGATTCCAGAAGCAAAAGCTTCAGATTGAAAGAGGGGAAAAAAAAAAAAAGGAAGAAAGAAAAATGAAACAAGCCCAAAATAAACAAGAGAATCTGTGAATGGAGAAACAACTGGAGACTTGCACCTGTGGCTCGCTGCATCATTGGCTGGGAGGAAAATCCAGCTTGTGCTCTCCTCCCTCCCAGATCAGTCACAAGACAGGGCTAGAGGATCACTCTGTCCCCTGCATCCTCTAGCACAGACTCAGTCCAAGAGGGCCCGTTCCTTTCCAGTTCAGTCTCCCCAGAGAAGTCCCCCAAAAGGTTCTCAGTGTACTGTGTTAACACAGAGGACAGGCTTGGTTTTGCTACAAGTTGGAAGAATCAAATTCTGATCCCTTATCGCAGAAGGGCAGACTGTTGTAGAAAGTTCATTACTCTTAACCTCTTTCTCTCTCTGGGTTCCACCACACTTAAGCTACATGCTCTTCCTTTTCCTACCTGGCCTATATTAGAGTTACAGTATGAATGGAAGATAGAGTTGTAGTAGGAAAAAAACTATGAGATTAAAATCTTTACAGAAATGTGCAAATTATAATCTGTCAACAAGAAGACTCACTCATGCACGCATGCCAGCCACTTTGCATGCTGGACCTCATTTAATCCACCCTTTGAGGAGGTAAGAGTTGTCTTCCCTGGACAGATGAAAAATTGGAGCCAACAGAAGTTAAGAAGCTTGCCTCAGTTTGCCCAGCCAGTAAGCAGTAAAGAGGATCTCATCCAAAGTGCCTATTCCAAAACACACAGCTAATCATGCCCCACACAGTGCCCACTGAGGGCCAAGGGATTAGAGACCTCATTTTTCTTGTCTTGGTCACTCCCAGGCAGCCTCAGTCTCCAGGGCCCTGAGGAGATCACTAAAGAAGTGCCTGGTGCCCCTTGCATTTCATGGGCCCTGTTGAACCTTGGAGTTTGTTGAGCTATGAAGATGAGGTCATAGTAATCCTCCCAACCCAAAGGCTGAGCCTCGGGAGCTGAGCCAGAGGAGCTTATCCTTGCCCACAACCTGAGCCTTGCCCTTTTTCATGTGTGTGCTGCATGCCCTGTGCTGTGGGGAGCCTAGGAGCAGCCTACATCGCAGAGCGTTTAAAGGTGATGAGGAGCAAAAACCAGGGGAGAGGGTGTGGGGAGGGGACACTGGTGGGAGCTGGGGATCTGCAGCTGGCAGTCATGGAAACCCATCTGAGGGAACAGTGCTGAACCCAGAATCAAGGGGTACCTGGACAGAAAACAGAGAAGGGACTCCTGGCACAGACAAGATTAAACAACAGGGCGAGAGACAGTAGTATGGTACAGCTCAGAGGCAGAGATCTGAATGCCTGTTCTACCCATGCCACCAGCTGCCTCTATGACCAGGATTTAGTCATCTACCTTTCTCTTCAATAAGGATCTCTCTTATATGGACAGATGTTTCTCAGTGGCGGTGGTAGGGAGTGTAACGTCCATCTCAGTTTCCACGTTACACCACCTTTTTAGCTATTAGCAGGGTTTACTGCAAGGACCATCTTTACTGAGTAGAATTTGAATCTATCGCTATTTCCACCTCTATTGTTCTTGAAAACACACAAGTCTGATCAGAGGAAGGTGGTGAAGGGTCTAGGTTAAGGTCTTTTAGAAGTCCAAAAAACTAAAAAGATTATAGCCTTCCTCTCAAATGCACATAAAAATGCACTAAAACAAAAGTACAAATTTGTATAAATGCCAAGATTAGAATAGCTTTTTCCCCCTTGGATTTTTCTCCCCTAATAACCTAGACAAAGTTTTTTTATCCAGTACAAACCTGGCTAACAGCTTTAGTGTCCGTGTTTTCTAATGCTTGTAGTGCCAGAAGCATTCTGTCTTTCTGGTCAGCCAGCTCCAAGGGAAGGTTGCTGCAGGGGCGCTGCTCTGCCCTGGCCTCGTGCATGCGTTTAGCCAGGCTCTGGGACCAGGCCAATCACACTTCCGCCTTCTTCAGGTCTGCATACAGAGGCTCCGGGGCCCCAGCGTGCCCCGGTGGCCCCATCTCCAGAGCCATGGTAGAGAGCCCAGGTTATCCTACCTTGCTATCTTTTGAGCTCCAATGGAGCTCTTCCTGCCTTTTGTAGTGGCTGCTGCTAGAGAAGCAAGGAGTGCAGCCGTCGTCGCTGTCACTTGGCACTGTTGCCAGGGACCGGAAGTAGTGTCTTTTACCTGATCGGCAATTTGACATGGCTGCTTAACAACCCGATTAATCAAACGCAGCTCATCCTGTTAGAATTAATGAGCCTAAGAAAGGCTGCCATGAATAATGAGGGCTTCTGCCCCTCCCTCTGCACCTTGCTCCACTCTCCCTTTTTTTTCTCAAAACCATAGCACAGTGACTCAAAACCGAGGGCTGTTAGGCCTTGTGGGGTGGGGTATGTGGCCAGCAACGTGAGAACGTCCTTCCTCTTCTCTTCCAAGCAGTACAGCTGCCCAACGGCAGTCAAGGACGACAGCCGTGTCCTAAAGGAGCAAAACCTCTGGTTCATCAAAGAGACACATGCAAGTGTTCAGCTGCTGGAGTGTCTCACGCAGAGTGAGAGATGCAAAATGGGTAAAATATTGTCGGGGGGGGGCAGTGAGGTGGTCACTGTGTAGTGACCCAGAGACTAATGGGGGAGCGCCATGACAGAGGATGCGGGAAGGGCCTGTCTAGCCTGGAAGATCATGGGAAACCAGGGAGGGCTTCCTGGGGCTGAGCCCTATGTGTCTCTGCCATCCTGATGATTGCCCATATGCAGATGAAGGGACAGCACTGCAACAGGGTAAACATGGCTCACATTCTCACAGAGCGGGCAGTGCAGAAAACATGAACAGACACTAGTTATTTTTTTCATTTACTCACCCAAACATCGAAAGTTGTTGAGGTCCCTGGGTCTAGGGTTCAGCCCCAGGGGAAAGGGATACAAAGGTATCAACATAAGCTGTACTTCCGAGGGGTCCTTTGGAGGACAGGCAGGTACATTCACGGACACTTCCAGTTGTGCACTGAGGGCTCTAACAGGGACAAGCCAAGGGCATGCGGCAGAAGATGCTTATAGATCAAAGCACTGAGCTCAACCTGATACATCAGGAAAGATACCCTGAAGGGAGATTACCTTAGAACCATTTCAAAGACAGAGAACTGCAGTCTCATAGATGCACTGGGTGCCAAGGGCTTGCATCCAAGTCAAGGCGAGGGCTCTGAGTGACAGGAGTTGAAGTAGAGGGGAAAGATAATGCTAGAAATCTTGGAGAGACATGGCAGCAGTGAAGCACATGCTTAGTATATACGGATGCTTAAATATACAGATGGAGAACTGAAACTTAGAGGCCAGGAACTCCTGGATTTACTTATTGATGGTTGAGCACAAGGAATTGTTTCATGAATGGTGAAATTTCCCCAGAATAGAAGGGACATGGCTCAAGTGGCCATATTCCAAACACACCAGCACTAAGTTTAGGGACTGGGCTGTATGTGGCATTGCAATGGTCCTTTGACTGGAGAGAGAAAGAAGAGCTGGATCCAAAATGACTGAGCTGAGGGAAGCTCGAAGAGATGACCACAAGGCCAGAGGGCACACAGGTCTGGGAGGCGGGGATCAACTGCTAATGGCCTAGGAAGGTAAACAAAGGACTGGGTAGGGATTTCATGAGCTAATAATATGGTAGACCCTGAGCCTGGAGGGAGACAGAGAACAAACAAGGGGAAGAGAGCAAAGAGAGGAAGAGAGATAAGCAATGGCTTGTCAGGCGACAAAGACACAGGCTTTAGTCCTGGCTCCCTGACTTATCCCAGGGAGCTCTGGAGAATAAGCTCAACTGTATGGTCCACTGGAAAGGAGGTTCACGTCCTGCTACGGTCTGGCTTGTCCAGCTCCTTTCTCTTCTTGCTTCTAGTGCCCACAGGCTGGGCTTTGCGTTGTGCCCCAAGGCTGGCTGCAGACACCCGGTCCTTTAGTAAGAACATTGGCCCAACCTTCAAGGTTCCCAGGATGCAAAGCCATCCCGTGTTTTCCTCACTTGAGGGCGGGCTTAGGATTGTAGCCTCCTGGCCTGAGGAGGCTGCAAATGTTAAGACCACAGCTCTATATGCAAAAGAAACTCTCACAAGGGAGGTTTACCTAAAGATTCCATCTAGGAATGGCTCAGTGGCTCAGTGACAGCGCTTGCCTAGCGTGAACAAGGCCTTCTGTGTGTCTGTCAGGAGGAAGTTCCCCACATCTACAACCAGCTCGAGCAGAGGCAGCTGCCCTCTTAGACTGGGTGTGAGCCCTCCAACTCAACCCAGTCTCCACCAGGGAGCTTCTTTCACCTCTTCTGGACTGCAGGCGGCTCCCGCAGGAAACAGCCCACTCGTGTTCATGCAAACCCCAGAACCTGAGCCGCAAGAAATGTTGGCAGGTGTCTTACCACAGCATCGCCAAACTGACGCAGTTGCCTGGCTCCCACGCCGCGGACGCAGTGGCCACACCTCCTCCATCGAGTCTGGGATCCTCCAGACAAATCCCCTCTCTGGTTGTGATCTGCATCTGGGCCCCAGGGCGTGGCTCAAACCAGCGCTCCAGCCCCCGCCCATCCCCCAACACCCTCCCCCCTCCCGTCTGACCCTCGGCCTCACCGCTGTCTGCCTCTCTTCCTGCAGGGGGAGCTGCTGAGCCCGTGCCGCTGCGACGGCTCGGTCAAGTGCACGCACCAGCCTTGCCTCATCAAGTGGATCAGCGAGCGCGGCTGCTGGAGTTGCGAGCTGTGCTACTACAAGTACCACGTCATCGCCATAAGCACAAAGAATCCTCTGCAGGTGAACACGGGGATGGCCCACCTGGAGCCCAGGATGGCTGGTGGGCAGGAGGCGGGGAGGATTTGCTTTCTCTTAAGCCCCAGCAAGAATAGGAGTATGACAAAGTGAGAGAAGTAGACCTAAGAAGGCAGAAAATATGGAGAACCAGAGGGAAGCGTTAGAGAAGGGAAGAAATGAAGAAGGAAGGAAAGGAAGAAAGGGAGTGAGGAAGAGAAAAGAGAGGAAGGAAAAGAAAAGAGTAAAGGAGGAAAATAAAGGAAAGACCAATGGCAGGAGCGAGCCGGACATACCAAGTGAGATGTGTGGGACAGTGAGAAAGACCAAGTTAAAGCCAAGAGCTGGAACAGAAGAAATACAGGCAAGAGGCTCAACAGCACTTTCCAAATTTTACATACATTAAATTCAGGGTTTTCAAAATGCAGGCTAAATTCTGTAAGTCTGGAAAGGGGCTGAGAGCCTGCATTTCTACCTGTCCTGTCCCTTCTTCTGAGTCAGGATCTTCCTGTGTAGCCCACTTCAGCTTTGTACTTACAGCAATCCTCCTGCCTCGGCCTGCCTAGTATCACTGAGATTAGGGGCCTTCACCGCCACACCCACCCCAAGAGTCTGCATTTCTTTTTTTTATTTTTTATTTATTTATGTGTGTGTGTGTGTGTGTGTGTGTGTGGCCAGCTCAGCCCACCAGGGGGCGGGGCTGGCTGGCATGTGGCGCTGGGGAATTGAACCGTGGTCCCTCTGATTTGCTTAGCTTGTTCTAAGTAGGTGCTTTAGACCACTGAGCCATCTCACCAGCCCCAAGAGTCTGCATTTCTAACAAACTATGGGAGACATCAACATTGGGGTGCCCAGGCCACACTACTGCAGGGGTCAGAAAGATAAATGGGGCAGAGACAGGACAGGGCGGCAGAGAAAAAGGGGTGGGGGAAAGAGAAGAAAGAGATTAGGGTGAAGGACAAGGATGGGGTCTGAAAAACATTCCTACAGAACATGGAGCTCCTGGTGCCCGCACTCTCCCTCCCCACCCTTCCTTGACACACCGGCCTTCCCCAGGAGCTGCCAAGCCCCCAAGTCTCCCAGCTCTCCATGCGAGGTACACACGTACAGAGTACTTTGCTTCTGAAAATACCTTCCTGTACACATGATCAGCCAATTAAGCTGCCATGTAATCAATTAGCCAGTGACAGGGAGGGTGGGACTCCAGCTGCCTGGCACCATTTCCCTTCCTCTCTGAGGTGGGGAGGGGGAGAACCAGCCCTGAAAGCCCAGGACGCCGGGGGCACGTGGTGATGGTGGATGGGTCTTCCCATGGAGGGCAGCTGGAAACATCCGGAGTTAACGGTGTCCCGAGCGTGGAGTTTTCCATGGGACACTGCCAGGAATGGGAGTGTATGTCCATGTGCACATGTGGGCTGGGGTGGGGGCATTTCTAGAAGGTGACGCTGAAGTCCCAGGCACCTCCTCATGCTGATTATTAGCAGAGGGTTCCACATCAAAGGGGCCTCTCAGGGCTGGTGAGATGGCTCAGTGGTCTAAAGCACCTACTTAGAACAAGCTTAGCAAAGCATCAGGGACCGTGGTTCAATCCCCCAGCACCACATGCCAGCCAGCCCCGCCCCCTGGCGGGCTGAGCTGGCCACACACACACACACACACACA